TACCACCTCATGCCATATACAAGGCAGGGTAAGAGGTTGGGGTAGCACTGGGTTATTCCTATATGTTATTAATATTGTTATTAATGTTGTTGCCGTTACTGTTCATTTCTAATTTCATTGTTGTTTCAAGTAAATTGTTCATATTTCAACTCACAGTCCTTACCTTTTGTGCCTCCAGTTCTCCTCTCTCTTCCACTACAGGGGGAGGGGAGAGAAAAAGAGGAGTGAGTGAGTGGTGCCTGGTTTGGAGTATTTTCAACTGGAACACCATTCCTAAACTACAACACCTGCATACAAAACTGCTGTTGCCTAAGCAGGTATTACATATGCAGCACGAGATCAGACATATGAATTCCAGATACTGTTTACCATTGCTTTTCTTACAGTATCATAACCATACATATTAATTTACGCATTCATAGGTCATGATGCAGTGCAAGTGATGCCTCGCAGATAGGCAGAAATATGTAATGGTTATTTACTCAGATTTTTCATTAGGAATGTTAGGAAAATATCTGTTACTCAGTCTAATTTAATAAACATCTATATCAAAGGGCTGATGACTTCTCTGAGCACATCTGTGTCTTCTGAACACGACAGAATAAGGAAGACTCTGCCTTCAGAGTCTCTCAATGGATGCTCCTCAAACACCAGGAAAGCCCTAGAAAGTGACAGGGTGGAGGGATGAAGACAGGCCTTTTTGTCAGTGTTTTTCAGTCAGCATGGAAACTGTCAGAGGCAGGTGATGGAGTGATGTTTGGAAAACATGATTAAGTGACAGAACAGATAAAGCTGCAGTTAAATTTCTTATAACAGAGGTGTTAAAACATTTGCAGACAGCATTGTCTTTATGATTGGGCAGAGATGTGCAGCCTCAGACGAGCACAGCCAGCTAGTTAAAGTGCATGCAAATATAAATTATTTTTCTGTCTTTGCCTCTGTAAATAAGTAACAAAATTGGTCAAGGAGAAAGGGGAAAATACTGGCAACTACAGCAATTTGTACTGGTTGAATCCATGTTCTACACAACATAAAAGAATGACTTTTCTCTAAAGATTTTCTATTTTAAAGTGTTCTTCGTGCATTTAGTATCTCTGCTTCTAGACGGTTACAGGCATATGTGCTACCAGTTTGCTGTGGTGATAAAAATGTGAGAGAAATGATATCATGAGTGTTAAAATTTCGCTCATGGTGGATAGACAATAAAATGCCAGGTTTTAGTTCCAGTTCTGGAGATTGGATCCTGTGCCAAAACAGGATCATTTGCTGAAGGTTGTCTCCTGTATTCAGCCACCACAAGATCACTTGATGAAACATGTTTTATAGGAAATCCAGCCAGATTATAATGGCATCCCTCAGTGTATTAAAACCTAGGAAAACTGAAGTAAGCAAACTAAAGGATAAAGCAAAAAGGAAAAACAGAATCCTCACAGCCTGAAGCTCATGCTCTAACCCCAACCATAGTGTCTGTACTGCCTCCATGATGTAGTACTAAGACCATATGTACTCTTACCAAGGACATCCCCAAACCCTGTGGACTTTATTCATTTTGCATGTTTGCAGTCTTGTAGAGGCAGGTATGGGAAGGGCTTTGGTCACTCACCAGGCAGCTGGCTGCTGCCCCTGGAGCACAGCTTTCAGCTTAACAGCAGAGGTCATCTGCAGCCCTCACAGTCTGAGCCATTTTCCCAGACAGTTCTCATTGATAACTGGTTTAACTCCTCTTAAATGGTCTGTTCAATGATACTCTGTGTTCTCACTGTACTCAGTATGGTCAACAACCCTTGCTCTGCAAGGCATCCCAGCTTGTCTGGGTTTTCTTTGGTTTAGGGAAGAGACAGCTCATGTTTCACAGAATCACAGAACATGCCGAGTAGGAAGGGACCCACAAGGATCGTTGAGTTCAACTCCTGGCTCTGCACAGGACCATTCCCAGATTTTAGCCTGGTTTAAATAAAAATTCAGGAGACAGAGCCCAGTGATCTCCTACCACTAGACCAGAAGTGTTGCACAGTCAGTCAATGAATATTAAGAATTTTCTGAATTTTAAGCTCCCAGGTAGGCTTGTATATCTGCACACCCCTATGCCCATTCTCCATTGTAGGCTCCTCCACGAGCAGCATGGGGTCTCTTCACCCCAGCAAACTTCTACAAGTGGCAGGGTTTTATTTTTCAGTCTTTTCCCTGCTGAAGAGAGAGAGAGGGTGGGGGAGAGAAGCAGCCTCCTCACCTTTGAACTTCTCTCTCCTGCTGCAGCTTTGGCCTTGAATACTTTGTTATCTCTGCCTGGAATTCTTCAGCAGCAGTCTTGCCCAGGCAGTCAATCCTTTTCTAAAGTTTTTTTTTCTCTACTCTCCTACAGGAGAGAAGGGGGGCTTCTCTCCCCCAAGGCCAGGGGAGGAGGGGCCCCCGGTCCACTTGGGGTCTGCTGCCGCTCCTACGTGGCTACCTAATTTTCAACAGTGCCACCGGCTTCTCTTCCATTTTCTTAAAAATGTTATTGGCAGAGGCGTTACTAAAACTTTTGATTGGTCTTTTCTCCAGAAATCCACCTGGACAAAACCATCCTCAGCCCCAGGGGCTGGCTGGTGGGCAAAACCACGACAGCTAACAAGAACTCTTCTAAAAATGCTGGCACCTTAATTTCTTTATTTTCTTGGCCAAACTATGAAATTTTAAGCCATTATCTTCAACGGCTCTTCAAGGTCACCAGTCTCAGAGCAGTTGAGTCTCACAGCTCACTGGCCTCGTCCTCTCTGGCTTTTGTTTTCTGTTCACTGGACAGGGTTTTGAGTGGGGCTCTGCTTGTTATAAGCACAGTGTGGACTCCATCAGCCTCTCCTGAAGAGCTTTCCAAATCTCTGGCATATGAATATGTCAGTCAGCATAAGTGGGACCTGCAGTTGTCAAGGGTAGGAGAGAGGGCGGGGCTGTCGTAATAGAGGCACTTTCATTTTTATCCTACTTGGAAGGAGTATGACCCATATTGCCTTCACCTACCCTATTACTCTCTTTTTTCCTACCTCCATCTCTGATAGTCTCAGTCTTCAGACCCAGACTCTATACCTCATACACTGAAGTTTTTGGCAGCTCCTGAGCAGAGCATGGGCTCAAATTGAGCCATTGCTCTTGCATTGCTCGGGGAAGCCATGGTGCATGAAGCTGGTTATATGAACAAAAACTTTGTAATTTGGTAGGTAAAACTTGTTTCTGTCTTATCTAAGACTGCCCTGAGTTGTATCCTATTTCACACGTACTAGGGTCTACAATCATGGTCATGGACATGCCAGATAAAATTGTGTAACAACGTCAAGGTGCCATAACCAGAATCCAATCTCAAGTTTTGAGACTGACTATGGAGGGTAAGATGTGTGCCAGTGGCCTTTGCTGTACTTACATTCTTATGCAACTGTCTTCTCCCAAATCATTACATTTGGTTTTTTGTTTGGTTTTGTGATTTGTTTGTTTGGGTTTTTGTTGTTATTGTTTTGTTTTGTTTTAAAGAGACAAGATGTTTTTCAAAACTGAAGGGGAAAAAATAGATGGTGGACATGCTTCATTTTCAACCAGTGACTTCTGCAGTCAGCAGTGGAAGGCAGATTATACATTTTGATATTAGAATTTTTACCAAGGAGATCAAAGTTGTTTGGATGTGGCTGGTACTTCATGTCCACCAAAATTTATGTGTATTTTAAAACCTTAAATGTGCAGGCAAATGTAAGGCCTGTCCTGGTAAACACAGAGATAAGCCAGCTGCAAAACATCACTGCAGCCCATATGGCTGTAAAATTTGTTGCAGAGTATCTTAGGTTCACTTCAGTCACTAAACTGCCATCTTTGCGTTTTGTGTATAGATCGATCAGGGTAGCTGGACTCTCTCTTCTTCACCTTTTTTTTGTTTTCTTACATTATTTTGCATCAACACCCTTATTTATAGCAGTCTAAAAGGCAGAGGTTGAGAGAAAATATCTATGACTTCATTCCCAAATGACTAACTGGGTATTTTTCTTCACATTATGCTACAGGATTAAACTAAACTGCATGATGAAAGGGTACTTCAAATAACATCGAGAACGTAAAAAATATGTGATTTAGGTTAATTAAGACATAAAGCAAACTTCATTTTCAGGACAACATGCAAACTCAAAGTTCTGCAGTAATTAATTTTCTCTCTGTTTTTAAAAAAAAAAAAAAAAAAAAAAAAGTTACATTTTCCCTTGAACTCCAGATTGTTCTGGTCTAAATGGAGCTTCATTATGTAGCTGTCAGTTTCAGATCGCTGTAACATCCTTCCTCTCCTCTGTATTTATACTGTTTCACTGAGCTTATTTGAGCCCCTAGCTCAGTAGGGATTTTAAACAGCAGATTAAGGGGAGACAGTATGTGTAAGAAAACTAGTAGGATTTCAGACTTTACAATGGGTAGGTGTAAATAATATGAAGGAAAGCCAAGCACAGGAGTTGCTGTACTTGGCATGAGCTCTCCGTCTTCCCACTCTCATTCAGGGACATGGGGATACTCTGCATAAGCATTACCGTATCCGCCAGGGTGTTTTTTAAGATGGTAACTGGGTGTGCTCATTTTTGTCTTTATTTGAAGTGACATGGGAAGAGCTTAAAATGAGGATTGCAATGATGACATATTATGGAAGTACCTCAAAGCCTCTGCCTCTGAACATTAGCCCAAGTGTATGTGCTTTTCCTAATTGCTACCAAAATATCATTTACATCTCCAAGGCCATTAATGGGGCCAACGCCCAAGTTAGCCCTGCATGAAGAGGCTTCTATTAGTAGAGGCACTGCAGACATGCATAAGCAGTGCAGGGGAGCATCAAAGCCCCTGGTACAACAGGAAATTTTGACATCTGGGGCTGAGACTGGTTCCACTGTGGACATGAGGGCACCAAAACTTGCATGTGTTGGCTCATTTGCCATGACTAGCATGACACAGGGGTTTTTGGTGTTCACCAGAGAGATCCTTCCCCTCTTTGCCTTGTAGACATGGCTTACCTGCTAGAAGAGCAAATATCCAGCAAGGAGGTCATTGCTTTCCTCCTCCATCAGACTTTCTGAATCAAAGATAACATTGTCTCTTACCTCCTAGGAAGTGCAGGTTATTAGCACAGGGAGAGTGATGCTCCCTGGCTCCTGAAAAACCACATCCAGACTATCCTGAACATCATTAAAAAGCACAGCCAGGACACACACTGAGGAGTACCTCCTCTGCTTTAGTACTCCAGCTCTAGCCCGTGGTCCATCCAGCACTATATTCAGCAGTAGAAAACTACTCTGAAGCCATGACCACTCTGGTACCATAACCACTACATTTTAGTTAAATTCTGTTTTTTTCTTGTATAGTGGCACTTGCAGTTACCTATGAAAACAGAGGGGAGAGAACCAGGAAAAGTAAAAGAAAAATAAAAATGAAATAAAAAGCAGATTAATGAGTTTTGGTGGTGTTTTAATTAGACGGTTTGGATTCTATTGGCTTTCAGTTTTATTGGAGTGTGGAGATTGAGTTCAAGAAAAATACAGATAGTGCAGGAGATTTTGTCCAAGGAAAACAAGGAATGAGCTATATTATCATCTAACATAACATCAAGAGTCAAGTTTGGTTTTACTTCTTACTTTTTCTGATGCAAATATTCTAATTTGTACTGATGCCCAAAAAAAGCAGATAAAAAACTGTTTAGACAGGGTTTTATGTCTAAAGCAGCAAGTTATTTATTGATTAACGGCCGGGCAGCCTGCCAGCTAGTGCTGGGAAAACAGGCTCCGAGTTGGTTAGGTTAGAGTGAGTATTTTATACAGGTTTGGCAATGATTACAACACAGATTACAATATTCATAACAGGTGGAGTTAAAATACCTGATAAAACTCATTGCAGACTGGAATGAAGGTCCAGATTTGCATTTATTTAAACTGACTGATGGTTCTGTGCTGGAAAAACATGATGGGATGCCCTTCTCCTGCCTAAAGACCTACTGATTTTGTTTTTAAGACTTTGATGTTATGGTAGTAAGCAGTGTTATAAAAACACTTATTTTAAATCATCGAGTTCCTCTAACACTATCCAGTTCAAGTATCTACAGTACAGTTCTGCTAAAAGCATCTCTAGGGTGCTGTCAGCATCTAAATCTCATCTTTTCCTTTGATTGCAAATTACACTTCTCTAAGTCCTAATCTCAGGTGCATGCTAGCTTTGTGTGTTTTAGTTGTCTGTATTTGATAGGGATAGAGCACTGATAGTGCAGATAATAGTAAAGTGAGACGTGTCAGTCAGAGCCTCTACAGAATTAGTAAAGGTCTGGAGAATTGCTCCTGGCACATAGCAAATGACAGTGGTTGAGCAACATTGATTTCTCAAGAATTAAAAAAAAAAAGAAAGGTTCTGCCACTAAATTTGACTCAATCATACTCTAAATCTTCCCCAAAGCAGGAAGAATATCCTTTTAAAAAGCCTGCTTTTGGAGAAATGCCATTAAGAATGAAACTGGTAACCCACCCACCCCACGCCCCCTGGAGCCTCTGATTGGCTGCAGCACCTCTCATTTTGGCTAGGAGGGCAGTGAGGAGTCAGTGAACCAGGTGTCCTGCCTGGGAGAGGTGGCCACAATAACCAAACCATACAGAGGCACACAGGGCCTGCCTTCATTTTGTCCTGCCTTCTCTCCTGGAAGCCAACACCATGCGACTCTTGGTGGTAACTATTTTTTTCTTTCTTCTTTCTTCACTCCTTCTCTCTGTTCTTCCTTTACTCTTCTCTTCCTCTCGTGGGTAACTCAAAATCAGTGGGTCTTATTTCACTGATTTGTGCATTGTTGTGTGTTGGGTACTTTCATGGAATGCTTCTCCTTCATTGTTTGTTACTCCTGTAAAACCCTTTTGCCAAAATGCTTATTTTCACACTAAATTAAGAAAAGTTCTCGTGGGGGAAAAAAAAGAGTATGTAGCTCTCTTTCTTTATGCAATTCAAGATATCAAAGAATCAAAGGCTCTGCAAGAGTTTGGTTGAGCACTTCTGCTCAACAGTAGGCCCTGGCAGCTTGCCTTTAGCAACACTCCTGTGTACATCAGTCTGACAAGATATGCCATCCAGAGGGATGAGGCATCTGGCAGGCTACATATGCCCATTCTGGGAGCACAGAGCAGCAGCTCGGTTATTTCTGGAGCTGACTCACTTCGTCAGCCACCTGCACCACACAGCATTGTTTGTAAACTCAGAGTGTGTTCCAACACCGCAATTCTGCCAGGTTTGCAAAGACCTTCCTTGCGAGGCAGAGCCCTAGCATCAGGGCCACAGGACACCCTTGGGTTGCAAGGGCTAAAGAAGGTTGGAGGATTTTGACCATATTTACCAGAGCTGGAGTTGACCAGAGGACTCAGTACAACTTGAGGACTAAGGATGGGCAGCTGTGCAGATCACATTTGAGCATGCTTCTGAGGGGTGACTGCCTCCAACCCTCAGTTAGGCAGCTCTTGCAGGGGTCAGCATCCTTATTCTTGCCAGCAGCTGAACTGGGCTTACAGCACTGTGTTGCACTTCTGTCAGAAAGCTTGGGCTTGAGATGGATGCAAAAGAGCAACCTAAAAAAGGTTTTTTGAGTTCAGTCTCACACTTTGCAATGTGAGAGCAACTCACTGGATTTAAATGAATAAATAAATAAAAATTTTAAAAGCACACTTGTCCTGGCCCAGCTCTAATTTCTCTGTTTATTTGATTTGTTGGGGAAGAGAGGTTTGATATATTCTCCAGAGTACCAGACCTCACCTTGCATTTATTCAGTGCGTCAGACAGAGAATTAGAAAGAAAGACCAATTGAATGTATGGGTGGCAGGAGGCAGGTTAATGTGGCATATGCAAAGTGTCTTATTATAAACCTGTATTTTGTATTTAAAGGCCAGAAAGAAAGAGTAGATGAAAAGCTCCTAATTCTGTCACTAAAGATAGAACAAATGGATAAACCACAGAAACATGAAAAGCAGTTGAGCCAGATGAAAAGTGATGAAAAAAGACTTCATGTATGAATTGCCACATTTAAAAGACAGATCAGGAAGGAGCTTGAGGAAGTGAAAAATGAATACAGACCAGGTGAGAATGGGATTTCATGCAAGTTATTTTAGGAAGATATTTCCACAGTAACCTGCTGCTGAAGAAACCACTTTCCAGTAAAGACAGATGTTAAAATGACTCTCTGTCTCTCCCAAACCTCACATGGGTTAGCCCGTTTGTCTTTGCAAACAGCCTATGTGACTTTTTCGCACACAGGTTGCATTCCCCATCTAAGACTTTCAAGATAAGACCATTTAAAGGCAATTTCACAACCTGTTTTCCAGATTTTTTTTAGGAGCACCTCTTTCTTTTATTAGCAAGGTCCCTGACCTTCATAGGGAGTCAGAAGTCATTCCCTCTTGCACAGATCCTGCTGCTGTGATCATTTTTCATGGTTTTACATTATTTTCATGCTTTACTCCCCATTCTTAGCCAACAGCATCTTGGTGAGTTACAGCTACCCAACACAAACCACGCATTGTACAAGTGAGGAGCGAAGCAGTCAGATGACATTGCTGATACACTGCAGCTCCTTTTTATGGGGATAGTTGCAGTAATGTCTCTCACAAAGCATGAGCTACTTTACCAGATGATTCTGGCTGTTCAGCTTCCAGCAGAAAATAGAAAGACTTTCACCTGGCACTGAGTATGTGGTCTTCACAAAAGAAGAGTTCACCCACTGTAATGTACTCTTGCATCACTCAAACCTAATCCATTGTAATACCCTTCATTTGCAGCTGCTCATGGAGGCACAGCAGGTTATCCAAAAGCACATCACTCAGCCCTTTCTCCAAGGGAACAGATGGGTGAAAATCACTACAAGAGTATTTCACATCTTACATGTTCTCAACTGGAACTTGAGCATCTGGTTCTCATCTTCCAGGTTGTCTGTGATCAAGGACTCCAGCTTTTTACTTCAGCTCCAATTCCTTCATCATCTGCAACCTACCCACAAACCCTGCTCGAAGGCTGTAGTAAACCAAGTTCTCTTTTAGTTAAGGTCTTCTTGCAGCTAGACAGGGCAAGGCTTAGCTGTCTACAAGACCTTCTGAGTGAGCTCAAGACAGCTTCTCAAAGAAAGCTGTGGTTAAGAAATTTCAGGATAAAAGATTTTGGTGCCAAGAGAGCTCCTAACTTCAAATTCCTGCCTGTGGAAATTAAGGACGGAAGAGAAGTGTTTATACCAAACTTTGGCTGTGCTTGTGTTCAAACTTACGTCCAAGAATTGCTCTTTCCCTTGACAGTTGTCTGGCAGTGGCTGACCCCACAAAAGAGGGGAAAGAGGCCACTGAAAAGGTTCAGAGCAGCATGAAGAGGACAGAGGCAGCCTCTCAAATGTCTCAGCAGCTGTTTGTGCTTTAACATAGATTGGCGTCTTGGAAATCAGAGACGTGTCTGGAATTTATAAGATTCTAAGCACTATGAAGCGATTTGGTTGAACACTAACTAGACTGCAGCAGTGACAAAATTAATCCATATGAAACAGCTTTTCCAAAAAGAAAGATGTCATTGGCTGCCATGTTACAATATGGATTTTAAGAAAAAATAAAAGGTTGCTTACTTGGTAGAAAGTTAACACCTATGTGAGATGCTGAACAAATGTAAAGAGCTATATTGTAATTTGAAAGTTATTGCAATCAGCTAGGTAACAACAGCTTACAATTCTACAATTCTCCAGTTTTTATTGACAATATTTGACCATACAGTGATCCAAAACAGGTGCATCAGGTGCTCAGTAGCTCTGTTTTGGAAAAAAGTGTGCCTGCACACTCCCATCTCACTTTTTATGCATCTACACAGACACATAAACAGCTGGTGAGGCTGAGCTCCCATTCTCCCAGAAGCGCGCAACAAAACAGCGTTCAACTCAGATGACTACTAGATGATATTTAGAGTTGCTACAGTTCTGGGAGATCCATGGTACCAAATGTGGTAGGGAGACTGCAAACCAACAGTATCTAATGGGAAAAGCAGAGCCTTTGAGTGAAGACTGCAGTCTTGAAAAAAACAAAGAAAACTCCCAATGGTCAGTGAAAAAAATAACTTTAAAAGCAAACAATACCCTTTGTCTTAAAGACAGACAGTAATTTTTTTCTTCCACATCACAAACCTGAAGTGAGTGGCACTTTACATAATCATCCTTGATATTGTCCAGTGTATTGGAAGATAGCTCCTATAGCAAATAGCTTGCAACCCAGGCTGCTATTGCATGTCCATGTTATTCAATAAAATAATGAGACATTATTAAGAAGGTTTATGTAATAGTTTAGCTAAATGAAGATTATATTTGTTGCAACTTTTCATACCATCATAATGTTTTGGAGGGTGTGAGGAGCACTTCCCTATGTCCCTCCCCGTACAGGGCGAGGGCGGGGAGGTCCGCCAGAAGATACTGTGAGAACTTAGTAGGATAAAGGTTGCTGGCACAGGCTGAACACCCTCTCTCTGGTTCCGGTGGGTGGTGCAAAGGCAGGAGTGAAGTCTCTCCTGCCGTGGGTTTTCTTTTGTTCTGGCCATTCGCCCCAGACTCCCCCTTCTTGGAGCCGCGGCTGCCGCCACCCCCTGCCAGTTTCCCGCTGGCTGGAGAGATGCCTTTTTCCTGCTGTCCGGGGCCGCTGCTTCCATGTTGCCGCTGTTATTACGGCCAGCCCCATTGCCACTGCTGCCGCAAGTGCCTCTGCCTGGAGCCACCGCTTCCATGTTCCTGTCATTGCTGCTGCCGGCGCTGCCGCTGCAGCCACACTGGAAGAACTCAGGAGCTCCCCTTTGTGAACCTGTCACGTGTGGCCCGCTTGCACAGCCACAATTCTGCTCCAGCTACACTGTGATCGCGTAACTGGGTCGGGACATCTCGGCACAATACTGATGGAGTGGCTTTGGGTGATATTTTCTCTGCTATTGTTTGCTCTCTTCTCTGTTTTTAGTACAACTGATATTAATTTCTCATACTTCACTCAAAAACCTCATAATTTCAAAATTTTCCTAATTTGGGGGAGGGGGTTTCTAGTCTATCAGACGTCCTACATCCTAGGACATGCTGTCAGTAAACCAAGAGATTAATTTGCCGTTTCCCAGTGTGGGGCATTCAGAGAAAAAGTGGAAAAAGAATAGCAGTTTTGAATAACCCATTTGTGCACTGGATATAGAACCCCTCAGGCATCATGTTGTGCAATTTATTCCTGTTTATTTAGCATATATTCCTGCATCTGTATTTTCCATTCACAGAATCATTGAATCACAAAATCAGACAGGTTGGAAAGGACCTCTGAGATCATTAAGTCCAACCCTTGATCCACTATCACTGTGGTTACTAGACTATGGCACTCAGTGCCACATCCAGTCTCATCTTAAAAACCTGGTGGTGGACGGAGAATCCACCACTTCCCTGTGCAGCCCATTCCAATGTCTGATTACCCTCTCTGTAAAGAATTTCTTCTTAATATCCAACCTAAACCTCCCCTGGCAGAGCTTAAGACCAAGGTAGCTGTGGCTGTTATTCAGTTCGTAACTTGGATTCACGGGGTTGTAAATTCCATGTCTGTAAGTCTCCTCTGGAATGTGTTTTCAGGGTTGTTTTCCTATCCTAACCTAAGCTGTTATCCCTGGCAATAAATGCAGGGGAGCATTTTTTCCCCAGTCCTTGAGCTGGTTCTCATTCGGGTTCACTACAACAGTTTTTGAAGAGTTTAAATTCCCTCTAGATCTTAGAGGTTTGGAAGTTTGCATGTTTTGCTCTATCTTATGTATGAAGGTAGGACCAAGAGGTGTCTGAATGTGTTCAGGAGTTTCAATTGGCATGGGCTGTGGGAGTACATGGGTAAGTTCTTGGGGAATATTTCTGCTCCAGTGACCTGGAAGTTCACCTCTGAACAACTGCAAGACCCTGCTGAGATGCTGAGATCAGTAAGGGGAAAGTGCAATGGTAGAGCTATGGAGGGGCAGCTTGCGGTTGTATGTGGAGCCCTGGCTACCGAAAGCTGCTTGGTATGGTGCAGCACCTTCAGGAGGGAAAGAAAGAGAACAAAATGCCTGACACCATGGCAACTCAGAGTGTAACAAAACCAGAAGGACAACCCAAGCCAGTGGAAGTTGTCCTTGTCCAAAACAGGAAAAAAATAAGACCAAATTTTTTCACCCAGTAGATGATGGTGGGGAGGCAAGACCCTCCCAAATAACAGACCCAGAAATAATCACCAAATCCCTTTTCATTTGATGATCTCCACAGTTTGTGGAAAGACATTACTCAAGGACTGAATAAACCCACTCTGACTTGGTTGATTTGAGTCTAGGCTCGTAGGGGTGAAGGTGCACTGCTTGGCGGTAGCAAAGCAAGGTATTTAGGCTCTCTGTCTCGGGATGTGGGTATTAACTAGGGAGTCAGAACCCCTCCATCAAAGCATAAAGAGAGGTTTGCTCACAGACAACCTGCAGGGGCATCATCTTTGCACCTGGGAGACCATGGAGGATGGGATCTGCTGCCTGAGACAAATGGCACTATTAGAGATACTTTTCACAAGGGCCAGGCAATCCAATAGTGACCCTGACAAGGTCAAGTGAACATCACAGATGTGGTGGAACCTCAGCGTGCAGGGCCACCATAGATGTTCATCTCCTGGTAACAAAGCAGTGGAAGGAAAACCAAGAAATAGTGGGCTCTATGTTGAGTACACTCAGGACGTATATAATGAGATCATCCATGCCCTAGTATGGGCCCATAACTTTTCTGTAGAGAAATTAGTTGCAGACCTCTGGGCACTAACTGAGGAAGTAAAAAATGACCACAAAAAACTCAAGAGAGGAGTTTAAGGAGAGCATTCTCCATGTCTTGCCAATGCAAACTGGAGCCCTGCTATCCAGAACAGGTGACCCCTTGCCAGGGAGAGAGGGAACAATACATAGGGCAACTGGTGTTTTTTCCTACGAACATGGGGAAGACAAGAGTAAATGGGATAGAAAATCACCTATGCTTCATCAGTAGGGGCACAGGAGTTAAATGGAAAAATGACCAGAGGCAATTCAACAAGCATGGATGTAGCCCCAGTCTCCCATGGGCAAGCCCCTAGACAGAACCAGAGGGACACATCTTCTCTTATTGAATAAAAGTTAGGGGTGGTTTGAAGGTTTGTTTTGCTTCAAAACAAAACAGTCTGG